TATTTACCACAATTCCAAACTGGAAACTAGATGTAGTGTTCTGCAGGCACTTCACTGCATAGGGACTCATATATTCTCTGGGTAAGCAATCCAGAGTTTAAGACTTAAAATCTAAAACTGATGGTGGTCCTTCAGTCAAAAGCCATATGATGAAGCAAGGGCCTCTGCACTAAGATTCAGGCGATGTGAAAGGGACAGACACACTCACATGCAAGCACATGAATTGGGAGACGGGCTACAGGGAGGCTCAGAGACAGTCCCCAAGGTGGACCAGAAGGACCAAGTCCAGAAAGGAAGGATAATGGAGGGATCAGAAGACTCATGGAGCCCACAAGGACTTAGAAAGGCCCACAGGAGGGCTGGGGGGAAATTGTGGCAGAATCTATTGTTGTTTTTAGTAATTAAAAAAATTACTTATTGATTTTAGAAAGAGAGGAAGGGACTAAGAGAGAAACATCAGTTTATTGTTCCACTTATTTATGCATTCATTGGTTGATTTAAAGATTTATTTTTTTATTGATTTCAGAGAGGAAGGGAGAGGGAGAGAGAGATAGAAACATCAATGAGGAGAGAGAATCACCAACTGGCTGTCTCCTGCACGCCCCCTACTGGGGATCAAGACTGCGACTCAGGCATGTGCCCTTGACTAGAATTGAACTTGGGACTCTTCAGTCTGCAGGCCGATGCTCTATCCACTGAGCCAAACCAGCTAGGGCCACTGGTTAATTCTTATGTGTGCCCTGACCCAGATTGAACCCGCAACCTTAGTTTATCAAGATGATGCTCTAACCAACTGAGTATGTTTTCCTCACCCAAGAGTATGTTTTCATTGATTAGAGATGAAGGAAGTGAGAGAGAGAGAAAGAGAGAGAAACTGATGTGAGAGAGAAATATCTATTCGTTGCCTCCTGTACATGGCCTGACTGAGGATTAAACCTACAACCTCGGTATGTACCCTAAGCAGGAATTGAACCTGTGACCCTTTGGTCCATGGGACGATGCTCTAACCAACTGAACCACACCGGCCAGGGCCCTCAGCAGAATCTTAATCATGTACACAGAATCTTTAGTGTTTTTCAGTAAATGTTCTAGATAGTCTAGTAAATAGGGAAACAAATTTTCTTTAAAATTTTAAAATGAGTTTTCCTCTCCCAGGCTCAGTAGCTACAGAATTAATGGCTAAAGGAGGCAGCTGGTTCAGTGAACTAGAGGGTATCCTTCACTTCTTTGAGTCTCAGTTTCTCTATCTATGTTATAAATAGTACCCATGGCATAGGTTGCCATGAAGATTTGATGACATAATACATGCAAAACTCTTACTACACATGATAGCCAAACAGTGAGACTACAATAAATGCTAGTTGCTAGTAATAATAAAAATGTTTTTATCTATCCACTGGTTTGGAGAGCGTCGGCCTGCGGACTGAAGGGTCCCAGGCTCGATTCCGGTCAAGGGCAAGTACTTTGGTTGCAGGCACTTCCCCAGGAGGGGTGTGCAGGAGGCAGCTGATCAATGTCTCTCTCTCTCATCGATGTTTCTAGCTCTCTATCCCTCTCCCTCCCTCTCTGTAAAAATCAATAAAATATATTAAAAAAAATAATAAAGACTTAAAGCAATAAGCCATAACAATTAAAAAAAGTTTTTATTACCACTGTGTTTAGGAGATAGTGAGTTTCCCATAGAAAAATCCCCACAGATGCAGGAGGTGATCAAACAAAGCTGGTGGGAGGTTGTGGAGAGGACTCAGCATTAGACATATAATTGGACTAAATGACCTTTAAGGTCCTCTTCCCACTTTCATGATTACGAGTCTCTTAAGAGAGAAAGAGGAGGGGAGAGGGAGAAAAAAGGGAGAGAGGCAGGGATATATGGAGAGAAGTGAAGAGGTAGAGAAAAGATCACTTTCCTTCAGGGACACATTTCTTGACATTTTTCTTTTTAGGGCAAAGGACTAATCTCTTGATCCCTCATTTCTCAAATTCTTGAGCCTCATCCAAGAATGATGGGTACAACAGAGACTAAAGTTAAAGCAGTGGTTAGCTGCCTCCTGCACGCTCCCACTGGGGATCAACCTGGGCATGTGCCCTTGGCTGGGCATGTACCTTGCTTGCGGGCACATCCCCAGTAGGGGGTGTGCAAGAGGCAGCTGATAGATGATTCTCTCTCATCAATGTTTCTAACTCTCTATCCCTCTCTCTTCCTCTCTGTAAAAAATCAATAAAATATATTTTAAAAAAATAAAATGTGTTACGGTCACATAATTCATTTGATAATTAGTTGCCCAAAGTGCACAGTAGACTCACAATACTATTCAGCTTCATTCTTAAATGCGGCCAAGGACCACCAGTCATTTGAGGAAAGTCCCTAATGAAAAACACAGAGTTTAACAAGAAAAAGGAGCTATTAGGGAACAAAGACTATTTTTTGGAGCCGAGACACCTCAAAAACCAAATACAAAAACAAAAAACTATAGCTTTAGAAAAGGAAGATAATGCATGTAGGAAAAAAGAAAAAGTACTTTAAAAAACCAAAACCCTAGCTGGTTTTGCCCAGTGGATAGAGCATCAGCCTGCAGACTGAAGGGTTGTGGGCTTAATCCCCAGTAGGGGGCATGAAGGAGGCAGCCAATCAATGATTATCTCTCATCACTGATGTTTCTCTCTCTCTCTCTCTCTCTCTCCCTTCTCTGAAATCAATAAAAATATATTTAAAAAAAACCCCACAAAACATAGCACCCTGATTGGTTGTCTCAATGATTAGTGCAATGAAAGATCACAGGTTTAATTCCCATTCAAGCACACGTTACCTGGGTTGCAGGTTCGATCCCTATCCCCAGTCCAGGCGCATACACATACAAGAGGCAACCAATCAATGTCTCTCTCACATTGATGTTTCTTTCATTCTCTCTAAAAATCACTGGGGAAAAAATCCTTGGAGCTGTGGCTCAGTTGGTTGGAGCCTCATTCCATACACCAAAGGTGAAGGGTTTGATCCCCTGGTCAGGGTTCAAGCGGGAGACAGTCGATTGATATTTTGTTATTTTCTCTTTTCTCTCCACTTCTTTCCCTGTTCCCCTCCCTCTCTCCTTCTTCCCCCTCTCTCTTTCTCTCTCTCGTCAATTAAAGAAATGTTTTTAGATTATAAAAAGCCCTGGCCTGAGCGGCTCAGCTGGTTGAGTGTCACTCTCTGCACTAAAGGTTGCTGGTCAGTTCCCAGTCAGGGCACACGCCCAGGCTGGGGCTCGTCCCCCGGGGGGGGGGCACACAAGAGGCAGCCCATCAATGATTCTCTCTCACTGTTTCTGTCTCTCCCTTTCCCTTCATAAAATCAATACATATTTTAAAGTAAATAAAAAAGGTATTGTACAGTTGCTAACAAGGTCAAAATATGTTATACAGTAACATGGATTTGGCTTTGCTTTCTCTTTCTCTGCAAACTATTTTTAAAATTCCAATTCCAAACAGGGATCCCTGTATTTGTAGCCATCCTGGAGGAGAGGGGTCATCCAAGCTTTTGGCACAGCTCTCCAGAGAATGAAGAAACATGCAAAGACAGGGGTGGGAGTTAAAAAAGAACTCCCTAATGAGAAGGCTCTCAAAGTTCAGATCTGAAGGAGGCAGATGCAGTAGATCCTCTGGCAAGTTCTTCCAGGTCCAAGAATTCAAATTCTGCCCACAGCAAAAGGCAGCCTGCAAACACTTCCCTGAGCCTGCGTGTGTCAGGCTGGCATTTGTTAGTCAGCGGGTGGCTGAAGCTCCAGACGAAAGCCCTGAAGGCTCTGTGATCCATTAGTAACTTTTTCTTTTCTTGTTGTCAGGACTAGGGTGACAAAAAAACTCAGGCTCTCTTATATAGTCAGAATGGTCAGAGCCCTGGATGTTAAATTTTACCACTCCTGAACATCTTTCGCCAATCAGAAATTGTGTCCAAAATCCTACCACTTCCTGCCAAATGTAGCTGAATGAATAACCGAAACATCTGCCTCAACAGGAACTAACTCAGCGTGCCACGCAACCTGTGAGTCAGCCCAGGAAGTGTCACCCTGGAGTTAAGACAACTCCCCTGGGGGCCCCAGAGGAGGGAAGGCTTCTGGGCCGGGCAGTATGGGGCACCAAGAACCCAGGCCTGGTCTCACCCAAAGACCTGCTGGAGAGCCAGCCAAGGCCACGCAAAGCAAAGTCTGCCAGACACCCAGGCTCTGTGCCAACCCACCCAAGGCAAAAAGAGAGAAATGGATGGAAGATTTTATGAAAAAAGAACTTTCTCCCTTATTTTTAGCCCCAAGCAAGAAGGAGGGGCCCAAATGGCATTTAGAGGGAGGAGAAGAGGCAGAGTGATTAGGAGCGATGGCTCTAATGCTGACCTTATCACCAGCAGGCTGTGTGACCCTGGGCACGTTGAACTCTCAGAACCTCCAGCTTCTTATCTGAGGGTGGGGATCAGAGTGGTGCCTACTCATGGGTGTTGTGAGGCTCACAGGAGACGGTGTACATAAACGCCCTCAGAACAGTGCCTTACTCAGTGAGTACGTAATGTTATTTACGATGATCTCAGAGTGAGCCTTGCAGGCAGCATCTCCAGACGTTAGATCTTCAGGCTCCCACGGAGCAGTTAATTCTGTGTGTGCTGTTGTGTCCTCTGTGGGTCATGTGTGTGGTATTCACAATCAGCCTGCCTCCTCCAGGGTCACCTCCATCTGGAGCCCAGCACGATCCCCCCACCTGGCTCTGAAGAACCACTGCAGGGACTGTATTACTCATTTGGCATTCAGCACGTCCTGCCATATTTGTCTCCCTGCATATGCCAAGACCTCAACTAGAGTGCAAATTCAAGAGCACAGGCTGTTTTCCTTATAGTTCCCAGAATGCCTGGCATTAGGCCTTGCCCACAGCAGACACATTCCTAGAACTACAGATCAGTGCCCTCAGTGAACTGTTCCAGCACGACAGTCCCCTTCACGTGTAGTCGAGAGCCCAGTATCCTATGGGCGTTCACTTACCTCGTCTAGCTGTCTCTTCGTCTCTTCTTCCATCCTTCGAATGTCGTCCATGGTCAGCTCAACCCACTTATCCAGCCAACAGAACAGCTGCCGGTGGAAGTTTGTAAACAGACGCTTCTCTTGCTATAAAAAGGAGGGAACCTAGTTAGAACCCAAAAGGTGAAGGCCACTGTTGTAGCTCCCCATAATCTCCAAGCCAATATCCACACTTTATTTTTTAGTTTTTTTAACCATTCTTTAAAAAAAATGTTTTTATTGATTTTTAGAGGGGGGAAGGGAGCAGGAGAGAAAAACATCCATCAGCTGCCTCCTGCATACCCCCTACTGGGGATTGAGCCCACAATCCAGGTATGTGTCCTGACCAGAAATCGAACCAGTGACCTCTTGGTTCAAGAGTAGACACCTTACCATTGGGCCACCCGGCCGGGCCAATACCCACACTTTAATGGGGAGGTGGGGGAGAAGTGATGCCTGGCTGGCTTCAGGGTGAGTGGCTTTTGCTTTCACAAGTCTAAAAGGTATGGCTTTGAGTGGGAGGGGGCCCCCAGGAAAAAATGGGTGTCTAACTCACAGCTGGGCCCTGTGCCCAAAATGCTACCTAGACAGCAACCCATGAGCTCACAGTTAAGCCAAGGCCCCAAAACAACTGTGCCAAGTTTCCTTCTTGTCTCTGAAGACTAAAGCCAGGTTAAAACTGGCCAACAGCAGCTCTAAAATACAGCGCAAGAGTGAGGCTCTAACACATCAGAAAAAAGGGCTATAGTCTACGGCCATACCACCCGAACGCGCCTGACCTCGTCTGATCTTGGAAGCTAAGCAGGGTCAGGCCTGGTTAGTACTTGGATGGGAGAAAAAGGGCTATAAAAACTCCTTACATTTGCCTAGTTCAGTAATTCAGGGCACTGGATAATTTGGCTCACAGTGCCTCTTGCCTTTTGGCTTCAAGAAAAACAGAGACTGAGTTTTGTTTGTGTTTCAATCATAGCAAGCCTCTTCCTGTTTCCTTTTCTTTCTTTCTTTTTTGCCTCAGTTTCCTTCCCTGTCACATGTGGTGCCCTTGGATGGACAGCATTAAACTGTGAGATAGTTAAGTATAAGGATACATGGGGGTCTGAGAAATCAAACTGAAATATTTGAATGTCATCTAACCTAGGATACAAGTCACATGGGTTGTATGATCTTCTCTTGGGCAAAACACCCCTCACCAACCCATAAAACTGGGAAGGCCTCACCTGGTCACTTACCTTATGTATAAAGTTTTCCACTTTGTTCTGCAGGCCCCACCACTTGAACTTGACAGTAACCAGTTTGTATGCACACATGTACGGGCAGTCTTTCTGATTTAAAATTTCTTGCTGTATTAGAAACACATCCACAGGCAGGCAGGTAACTAACAGGACTGACCTCTGGCTCTCCCTTAGCCCAGCCCCAGCCATTGGGAGAGGCCCACCCACACTGGGTCCATCCCCCTGGTGGTGAGGATGTGAACTGCACCTTCCAATTGGGGCCCAAGGGTCCTCGGCCTGTTTTCTGAGATTTAAATTTGGCTGGGTCTTCCTCTGCCTTGTAATCCTGAGAAATGGTAGAATTGGAGTTGGGGGAGGGAAGAAAGTAGAGATGGAGGAAAGGAGGAAGAAAGAGACAGGGAGAGAGAGATAGGAAGATAAAGGGAGGAAGAGAGGGATCAGATTTTCCATCAAAGTACACTTCATGCCAATCTTAATACTAATGGTGCACAGAAAATATGGGAAAATATTATAAACAGGATATAGAACTATTACATTTGCCTCAGAGGAGTGTTCTGGTGGCCTTCTCTGTCAGGGTTTGTATTCAGTTCTACCACATCAAAGTGTCACCAGACTGTTTGAGCAGGCATGCATTCCACTGTCTAAAATGGATTTTCAACCAGGGGTGAGCATCCAAATTACCAGGAACAGCTTTTTAAAAATAAAGATTTCTGAGCTACTCCACCTAAAACCCAATGAATAAGAATATTTGAAGGTAAGGTTATTTTTTGTTTTGTTTTGTTTTTTATCTCTGGAGGTGACTCTAAAAAACACAGCCAGAGCTAAGAACAACTGGCTATCATTCCTGAGATAGAAGCTGAACTCTGGCTTGTTTCTTTTCTTTTCTTTCTTTTCTTTTTACACTGTCTTGTTTTAATAAAATCATTATTAGAAATGTTCAATGTATCAAACATAAAATGTTCAATTATAGTATCCTCGTGTATTTTTGTCAGTTTCACTTCACTGATGCAGAATGCAGTCAATGCTGTGCGTTAACCATAATAAAAGCTTAATCTCTGGCTGTTCCTCTGCATTGACTGTGGGCTCATGTAAAGCAAACTCAGAGTAACTATCTAACAAAAATAATGACATTAACAAATCACAAACATACATACAGTCATAAAATATTTCCCAAAGCTAAGCAGATTATTTATGTATGCTTTAAAAATATCTCTTTTCCCTACCTCTGCTTCCCTCCATTTACATGAAACAATCAGAGTTGACAAAATACTTGAAGAGTCATACTCTTTGCTAGTATTTCTGTTTGAGAAATATTTGTGTATGCATGTTCACTTTTAGAAAATCCATCAAGCTGCACACTTACGATATATTTACCTTGCTATATATATATCTCCCCCTGGGATATGGAGAGCAAATAATATTCAAATTCCTGTTCCCTGATTCCATCAGGCCCATCAGGCAGGAAGAGTACTGAGTGAGGGAGAACTACCTTTCCTTTCTGGAACAAATACCTCCTGTGAGCACAGCAGTGAGCAGGGCAGGCCAGGTCCCTCGCTCTCCACCTGCATGGTCAAGCAGTGGACCGTCCTTTGCTAAGCACCTGCTGCCATGTTTGTTACTCTGAGAAGCAACTATCAACCAGTTGAGGGCAGGGGACTTGTCTTTTCACATATCTGGAACATTCCTTGCATGGAACACACAAAACAGAATAATCCAAACACAACAGGCAGGCACTAAATGTTTCTTAATTCCTGGGTTGGAAAATAAATTTGAGAACTAGTTTCAGGCTAAGTGTCATTTCAGCAGGGCAAATCAACCACAGGACTACCAATAGTACCCACACTGTCCAGTGATCATTCTTCCAGGCCAAACAGGACACACACATCTGGGCCACTATTTCCCTGGTGGTGTTCCCAGGTCTAGACAAGGAAATTCCTAATACTAATTTTAAAAATAAAACAAGTAATACCCAAGAGAGAACTTCCCATTTAGCCACATTGGGTCTGGTTCCCCGATTTCTCTGACACTCAAAGGCTACCCACATCCCTAAGAGTTCCTACCTTGCTAAGTACTTGGCTTCGATCTGCAATATCTATATACACGGTTTCCACATGTTTCCATGTCTCAGCCTCCAGTTTATGCACCTGCAGGAACAAGGAGCACCTCTGTGTAGTTTTTGTCAGCTATAAAGCACCCTTCACCCAGAAGAGACACTACAAACAGCTATTCCCAAAGCTAGAGATGTGAGATTTCTATGGGTAAAGAATTACAAAGAAAATTATTCAAAGGAATGGGAAGATGAATTTTAAGTGCGCACACATTTGAGGACTAATGCTCTGATTTTTCAGCCTAAGGACCACCTCAGCAGGCCAACACTCTCGGGGCTCCCCATAGTACCTATATTATCTCTGCATGTTCCCTCTTTGTAAAGACGATAAAACACTCGCAGAAATATTGCCTGCTTAGCCATATACTGTTTATTTGGATGCTTTTAATAAATTAATTCAAACAGGTTGTACATATACATGATATGAAATTATGATACAAATTCAAAATGTACAAAAAGATATGATACAGAGTAATTCTTTGTCTTGTTTTATCTCCCAGTCCTCTCCAGAGTTCACACCACTGCTACCAGATTCTATGCACTTACAAACATCCAGGTGTGAAGATCTTTCTTTTAATACAAATGGTAGCACATAATACACACCGTTTTGCATCCTGCTTTCTTAAACAATGAACAATATACCTTGAAGATTTTTCCCTATTGGTTCTTTTTTCTCTCTATTGGTTCTTCATAATGTTTGCAAAATATACCACTATAAGGCTGAACCAGAATTTATTTAAGTGTTCTACTGGTGGGCTCTTTTATTGGTTTTTAATCTTTGACTACACAAAGAATGCTACAATGAATCTTCCTGAATATAAGTTATTTCACGCATGTGTTAACATAACTGTATGATAAATTCCTAGATGTAGAATTGCTGGGGTAAAGGATGGATGCATTTTAAATTTGAGGAGTTACTGGGAAATTGTACTCTATGAGGCTATAATCCTGATGTTTTAAAAATATAGCTCCCCTGTACCAGAAGTTGCATTTTAGATCAATCCCAATACAATGAAAAGGCCCTATAAGGAGCCTTAGAGATCATATTTTGCAAATCAGAGACAGAGCAACCCCATGCTGGTAGGACAGGTCTAGGCAGAGGCCGGTACCCAGCAGGCCAGGAAAAGGAAAGCACAGAGCAGACCCCCTGGCATGGATGGACAAGCCACAGGGCAGAGTCTCAGTACTCTGCCCTGAAGCCTGGGAGCTGCTGGAGCTCTGGGGAAGTGCTACTTACATTCTCCAGGTGGCCAAGATCGGGCTTGTGCCAGGTTTCAATTTTAATCAGAAAGTCTTCTTTCATGTACTCATTCTGGAAAGGGGGGGAAAATACCTCATGGTCACTAGGCTCAAAGTTGAAAATTAAAGATTATTGGATCAAAGATTCCAACCTCTGCCTTATAATATCAGCTAATTTTACTTGGAGCCCACAGCATGCGAGGCATGCATTATCTCACTTAATCCTCACCACAGCCAACAAGGTCTGTAGTAAATTATAGATGACTACCTTATGCACAGGTGCTAATAATTGGTAGTGTGGGAAGAACAGAGGAAGACTTCCTAACCCACAAAAATGTTCATCACTACCCCGTTCCCCCCTAGCCAACCTTTTGCTGAGGTCCATAGTTCTCTTCTCAGCAAATGAACTCTTCATGCTAATTACTATCTTCTTCCCTTAGTGCTTTTTCAAAATTAGAACTACGCAAAGGAGGAACACAGTAGGCCATTAATTCCTTGGCAGGGATTGGGTTCCCAAGAACTGCCTATGGTGACCAACAGGGATAAGGCACTGGAGGAGGAGACTGGCAGGTGGGGAGACGGGGCAATGAACAGGGGATGGGCGTGGAAGAGAAACCCTGCTGCCTTCACAATTGTGCTAGGGGCCAGGGCTCACTAGGGCCAATAGATGGCCATGGGAAGCCCCACTCAGGTCAGCTGAACCGAAGTCTGTGCAGACCTGAAAGGCATGACCTGGCGCGAGCAGTTAAGAGCCTTGGTTCCTTCTGAACATGTGATAGCAGAGCTAGGACGCCATGGTCCTGACTGCTGCACCTTGCACCTTATAAAGCCACATGCCAAGGCAGCTTAAAGAAAGAGGCTTCTTTGCCAATTAACAGGTTCTTTCTTAGGACTGAAAGGATTAAGCCTCAACAACTCCAAAAGTCATTCAAGAGAAAGAGGAATACCTAGTAACCTCCAGTGCAGTTACATTTTCATTTCTTCTTTCTTAGAAATCATCTACAATTCCACCCTCCCCCCCTGACCCCCCCTCCCTGGAAAATACTTACTGTAATAACTGTTCCAAGGCAAGGACATGGAAAGAAGAGAGAAAAAGTTTAATGAGGATGAATGAATATCTGACCCTCAGCCCCAGAAATCACAATAGCAGAGTTCTCCATTCCCTGGGGCTTATCCACAATCACCCTCCAATTCCCAGTGAGTGCATTTGGTACCTCAAATGCATCAACCCTCAAGTTTCAATCATATGAAAGTCCCCAGAGACCAAATCTGGGACTTAATTAAAGGAATGACACTATTGGCTCCTTGAGATTCTCTCTAGTTGAACAAGGAGGGGGACTGCTCTCAGGAGCTGAAGCAATGAGACCCTGCTCTGTCTCAGAGCCCCCCCCTGAGGTCCCCCTCACCGTAGGGGCACAGGCAGGGCGCTTTAGGGCAGGCACATCTATCTGCCTCCTGCATCCCTGCTCTCACTGTAACCAAACCTCTCACCCGCTATACTCCTGCCCATTGTAATGGGACCCCCTCGGAAAGCACGGTTCAATTATTTATCAGAGAAAATGACTGCAGCTCTAATGTCACTGGGGAGCGGACCAGCTCTCCTCCTGACAACGGCCTGGATCGTTCTGTACCCTCTGAATTTAGAGTTATCTCAGTTTCTGATGGATGCCACACTGCCATGTTTGGACATTTATAGGACTAACAGTCAAACCTCACAACTCCAAAACTGCAGCCAAGGTTACCTGTGAGACTGAGACGAGGAAAAGTTGAAATATAAGGGATAAGATTTATCTTGTATAGAAATAACCCAGGAGATTATAAGTAATTTCCCTAAATCCAATGAAAGAAACCTGGAAGAAAGTACCAGATTAAGATAACTAAAAGGCCTACTGAAATAACTGCTGTCATGAACTTGGAGAAAATTGTGTTAACAAGAAGGACATGGTGAGTATCATCCATTGAAGGAAGTCCAAAGAGACCAGTTTGGCAAAAACTCTCCAGGGCTGTCCTGGGGCAGGAGCCCCAGGCTGCAATGGCACATCCAGCAGCCCCATCCCGAGAGTGGACACAGCAGTATCAGGCTGGCTTGGTTTGATCACACAGCCACTGATTCTGACTCCATGTTCTCCAAGCAACTCCTCCTTCTAGTTCAGCCTCTGTAAGGACAGAACATGCTAATGAACAGACACAGGAGTCCGATCGCTTAAGCAAGTGAACATGGTGAGCATGTTCACTACATCCTGGCATTCTGAATTGACATACTTTGGTGTGTACACACTTTGGTGTGTACACTAAATATATTGGCATATGAGGTTTGTACACCTTAGCCTTTTTGAGACCCTGAGAAATAGATCCACTCGGTTCCGATAAGTTACATTTCTGAATCCATGATGATAATGACCCTCATCGGTCCTTAAAGCTAACAGGGGTGACCAATCTTCCCTAGTCCTCCCTGCTCCTCCAAACACCACTGCAGTCCCGCATTTCCTTTTCTTCAAACTGCAATGCTGAACACACTAAAAAAGTCCCAAGAAACGCTTTGTAGTCAGAAAATCAGGCTAAGTAAGATTAATAAGGTGCTTTCAAACCATGGCTTAGTGAGATTATTCAGTCAAGGGTTAAGGCTAGAGGAAGAGATAGAAAGAGAAACATTTCTTTTCCTCTTCCTACTTCCATTCACAGACCAAACCCCATCTTACCCCCTCCTCATATCCCAACCCACCAACATCAGGGGAGAGACAGAGAAAAGTAAGATAAGAGCATAAAAACAGCTGATAATGAATGACCAGAGTGTTCCAACTCCATTTTCATTCCACTCAGGAATTTATCCCACGCTTCTTTATCTATCTCACCTCACACTTTAATCTACTTGGACCAAACTTAGATGTTTGAACTAATCGTCTTTCTCCCATCACCCCCCCCCCCCAGAAGAAACTGGAGATTAACCTTCTTTGTTTATTTTAAAAGAGCAGGCGTCTAACTGAACAATCTAAGATTCAACACATTCATTTCGTATGACGGTGACTGTGAGTGTGAGGTCAGCATCCACTGGAGAAACCAACCTTCCCCCTACCCCTGCCTCCTCTTCATGTATTATTTAGAAATTACTTTTATCTCTTTTTTCTTTTGACCAAAGGTCAGGACAATATGTGAACGAACATTCGGCAGCTGAAAAAAAACGCCCATGTCAGCTGCAGCACACTCCCTAGAATTACGCAGAGGACAGTGGCATCTCTCAGTCAGCATAAGCTATGTACCAGAACCCTGCCCCAGGCATGGAGGAGTCTATGCTATCTGTTTGCCTCCTTTATGCCAAGTTGGCAAAGGTTCTTATGACGTATGCTCAATGCAGCTCTCTTGGACATTAAGAACAGTCACCTCTGGCCCTCGACCAGACATACACAGCTACAGAGCACAGTCTTTTCAGAAAGTGTGTGGCCCAGCTGGTTGAGCACTGACCTATGAACAAGGAGGTCACGGTTCGATTTCTGGTTAGGGCACATGCCTGGCTTGTAGGCTCAATCCCCAGTGGGGGGTGTGCAGGAGGTAGCCAATCAATGATTCTCTCCCATCATTGATGTTTCTCCCTTTTCCTTCCTCTCTGAAATTAATAAAAATATATTTTTTAAAAGAAAGTGTGTGCATGCCTCTTTTCAAAGAATTTAACAGCTTCCTGTCCAATGCTTCTGTGGTAATGATATTTGCATTTTCAGCTAAAGCAATAAAACTCTGTGTCACACACCCCAGATCCTATCAAAGATTATTAATCTCCCAATACAAGGTTCTTGAGAATTGGAAAGAGTAATGACTCTGTTCTCTAGACTTTAATCATTCCCAAGTTCACAGGATAAGGGCCACATGGGTGGAACATCCCCATCAGATACAATCTAGGGAGTACCAAGTCCCAACAAATAAAGCAAGTGAAGCAGTCCATGTAAGCAGAGGCTGGCAAGAGGAGGACACCTTAGCCAGACTGCCAGTGAAAACAAATGTAGGTTGGCTGGGGGGAAGGCCACAGAACTCACAGACGAGTTCTAGGGGACCTCTCAGAAGCACCCCAAAATATGGATCAGTACTAGCTTGGGTTCTCTAAGAGAACTATTCTGGAATCTTGGAAAGCTAGGAGTATGAACTACACAAAGAGAATCCCAGAAAGTCTAACATACAAAGTTCTCTGTGGAGGCTCAAGTCTTCCTTTTCCAGAAACTCCAGATAGGAGATGAACCAGGTTAAGAAAATAATTCCACTCCTACCTTTAGCTACAGAACATGCTAGTTGAATGTAAGTCAGGGTTCTTCACAGTGACTTTCCTCTTCCTTGCCCTCCACCCTCCCATCCAAATCTGGCATGCACATTCCACGTGCTATTTAACATTTATGAAATATAACTGATTATAAATATTTTGTCGTAAAAAATTGGGCATATTTCCACTTTCCCCCAGTAACACCAATGTTTCCTTTGCTATTTTTTGTTGTTATTAATCTTCACCCAAAGATATTTTTCCATTGGTTTTCAGAAAGAGTGGAAGGGAGGAGGAGAGACAGACAGAGGGAAACACTGTTGTGAGTGACACATCAATTGATTGCCTCCCACATGTGCCTGGACCAGGGTCAGGCAACTGAGGTATGTGACCTTGACCAGGAATTGAACCTGAGACTTTTCAGTCCTAAGGCTGATGGTCTATTCACTGAACCAAACTGGCTAAAGCTCCTTTGCTATATTTTCTTGGTGTCTAGGCCTGGCCCTTCCCCAAGGCAAGAAAGCCATCCTCAGGCTCTCTTCTATGACTGTTGCCTCTCTCAAGATTCCCTGACCTCAACACTGTTTTTCAAGCCAAACACAAATATATCACATTAAAACTGGAACTCTCAGTATCTCACAGTAAGGGAGTGGTTTAAAAAGATCATAGTAGTAATGAACAACATAGACTGATGAACAGTAACAGACCCAGAGATAAGGGCCATGGGTCAGACTGTTGGACCTCAAAGGGAGGGTGGGGATAAAAGGGAGAGATCAACTAAAGGACTTATGTGCATACATATGAGCCTAACCAGTGGTCAAGGACAATAGGGGGGTGGAGGCATGAGTGGGGAAGGGTAACGTATTGGAATGGGGGGTTGAGGACAAATATGTGATACCTTAATCAATAAAGAAATTTAAAAAAAAAAGATCATAGTATATTCATACAATGGAATACTATGAAGCCATTACAAATTTTTAAAAATAGGAAACTACATAGTGACAGGAAAAAGATTCTTCATTTACTGAGTAAAATGAGCAATTTAATAGTTAATATGATATGATCCAAAATTTGTCTAGGAATGTCTGGACATTATATGTAAGATTTTAAAAAAGGACCAGGGAAAAAGATACTAAAATCTTAACAGTGACTATCTAGGGATAAGAGAATAATGGATGGGCCCTGGCTGGGTAGCTCAGTTGGTTAGAGCATCATCCTGATACAACAAGGTTTCTGGCCTGATCCCTGATAAGGTACATATAAGAATCAACCAATGCTCTCATTGGTTTGGCTGAATGGTTAGAGCATCTGGCCACGGACCCAAGTGTCACGGGTTGAATTCCCAGTCAAGGGCACATACTTCGATTGCAGGTTCAATCCCCGGCCCAGGTTGAAACACATGCAGGAGGCAACCAATTGATGTGTCTCTCCTACATTGGTGTTTTTCTCTTTCTTTCTCTCCTCTCTCTCTCTTCCATACTCTCTAAAAATCAATGGAAAAAATATTCTCACTCCTCGGGTAAGGATTAAAAAAGAATCAAATAAAAAGAATCAAACAATGAATACATAAATAAGTGAAACAACAAATTGTTTGTTTCTCTCTCTTTCTCTCTCAAACCAGTTTTAAAAGAGAGAGAGAGAGAGAGAGAGAGAGTGAGAGAGAGAGAGAGAGAGAGAGAGAATGAATCATGGGTGGTTAATTTCTTCTGTTTCTATGTATTTTCTAAAATTTAAACAGAGAACAGTACTTTCGTAATCAGTAAAAACAATCAAAATTATCATACCATCCCCAAATAAGAAGGGCTGGTATTGTGCCAGCTCAGGCCATGGATATGTGGTGGTTTTCACTCAGGTGGCTGCCAAATTATACTAGACAACAATGACAGTCCCAGTCTCAGGTCTGATGAAAATCCCTAAACTCATCTTTCCGCTGGCTTAATCCAGAAAATGAACATGGGACACAAAACCCCAATCCATCCCCACCGCTGGGTCCACTTGACCCCAGCTTCTACAGGTCTGCACTCACCAGTTCTGCAATAAGGGTAGGCGTTCCATGCTTTTTCATGTATATTCAGGGCTCCCTCTGGGGCCAGCATTCGAACAAACCCGGGCACTTTGCTACAGTAAGAAAAAGGGGTTATGAAAAGAAATGGAGGAGAGAATGAGAAGACACTCTTCAGGCCACAGCCCTAGCCTCTTCAATGGGAAATTGACAAGTAAATTTCCATGAGATAAGTAGGTTACACTTATGGGTGAGAAGCCACCTGTCAGAGTCTGAATCCCCAACTCTGCTAGCTATTAACACCCACTCACATCTTGCCCCACCACCTCACCAGGATCCGGACAGGAGGGAATACCTTGGGAATACCTTGGGCTACCTGCTACAGCTTATCAGCCATTACATTATCAGTGTGCTTTTTTTCCAGCACTCACTGGGCCCAGGGCATCATATTCCACAGGGCATGGATGACACACCTCCAAGAGCATACCAGACCAGGTTTATGGGCCAGAGAGACTGACTGACTAACAGTAAGGGATTCCAGATGATCTGATGATCTTATTATCAGTTCTGGGACGCCAGGACAAAATATTTTCCTCAGGGCCATATGCCTCCCAGGACAAAATATTTTCTTCTATTTAATTCTTCTTATCCCAGATTACAGAAAAGCATGTTCAGTAAGAGCCTCTCCCCCCCTTTTAAGGTATATATATTTCTCTTCCTTAATCTTTTACTGGTATTCTAAGCAGGCTTTAGTAGGCTCCAACAATATCATCAGCTGTAGTGCCTGAAGCCTAAGAAAAGAGAGCAAACTCAGAGAACCAGAGCAACCCTGAGATTCATCCACCCACTGCCATGCTCACTCAGGCCAGTATTTCTACGTGCCAGGCACCAGGATGCATACGGAGACCATACAAACTTGGCTCCTGCCCTCAAGGAGTCGACATTGCAGTGGGGAGTATAACCAGACGGGGAACAACACCGTGTGCCACAGTGGGTAAGCACAGGGCTCTGGGGGACAGAGCTCGGGAGAGCACGGCGCATGGGGAGGCTCCTCAGGAGAAGGATGAAATGAACTCAGAGCAGAGAGGGAGTAGGACTGAGCAAGACACAGGATGGGAGCAAGGTAAGAGAAGTATGGAGAAGAGCGAGTTCAGAGTACCTGGTGAAAGGGATGAGTAGGGAACAAGAGAACCTGCAGAGGCAGGGTCATAAAAGATCTTGTAGATTACATCAAAGAGTATGGACGTTATCCTGAGGGCAAAGGGAAGCCTTCTATAGCTTTTAAAGCTGGGGAGCAACAGATCTGTCTTCTAGAAAGAACACTCAAAGCTGTGTGAAGTGGAAACCAAGGGGACCAGTTAGGAACCACTAAAGTAACTGAGGCAAAAGATCATGGAAAGAAATGGCTAGGCTGGCGGTGCTGAGGAGACAGAGTCAATGAGGAGTTGATATAAGGGATGAAGAAGAGGGTGGTGGTGAACCTGTGGGGACCATCTTGATGGACCTCATGAGGAGAGGTGGTTGTGGCATTCAGCACTTAAAAAGCTTTTTTTTTTTTTGCAGTTGTGTGTTTGGAGTTAAGGGAGTACGGGTAGCAGCTCAAAGTTTACGCCCTCCCTTATAAGGAAGAGGGTAAGACAGGTCCTATAGAGACCTCCTTTCTGCAACTTCGGTTGGACCAAATGAGCTGCGGAACCAACTGGCCCCTTCTATTAACCTCACTATCTCGTTTCAAAATCTTTTCAAAATCATCTTTGAAAAATACAAATGAAACTACAGAGAAGGCATATCTTGAGCCTTAAATTTAAAAAATTTTCCCCTCAACTATAGTTGACATACATTTCAAGTCTTATTTTAATTAACTATGAATGGCTCAGTAAGGACTAGTTGACAGTCAATTTCGAGTAGGGAAGGAGGAGATAAAGGAGAGGCATGGAGAAAAAAGCACACTGGCAAGGAAATGGGAACACGGTGAGATCCCCTCACCTCACAGTGCTGCTTCCTCCTGGCTCCCACACTCACAAAACCCTAGACCCCTCAGGGCTAGCACTTTTACATCTCTAGAGCGGCAGACTACATTCTATCAGGATTTTACCAATGAAGATGACACTGCGTTTAGTTCATTCCGGTGACTAGAAATTAAGATTCAGGTGTAAGTTGCACAGCAATGTAAAACTGTACACGTAAAATATGATAAAAATGTTGAATTTTTTGTTATGCATATTTTACCACAATTTAAAATATATTCCAGTTTATTTTTTCCAGTTCTGGATAGTTTCTAAAACTTGCTTGATTCAACTCTCATTCAAGCTGGTACATGTTTACTATTATTTTCAACACCCTTTGGGTTGGCTCAGAGTTTGCTGAAATACAGGGTGTGGCAAAAGTAGGTTTTGTATGGAAAACAATATAATAATTAATAATAATAAAAGAGCCCTAGCTGTTTTGGCTCAGTAGATAGAGCAGTGGCCTGTGGACTGAAGGGTCCCAGGTTCGAATCAGGTTAAGGTCACATGTCTGGGTTGCGGGCTTGATCCCCAGTGTGGGGTATGCAGAAGGCAGCCAATTAATGATTCTCTCTCATCACTGATGTTTCTATCCCTCTCCTTTTCCCTTCATCTCTGAAATCAATAAAAATATATTTTAAAAGGAATAATATAAGAATGAAGTCTGTGGCCCTGGCCAGTGTGGCTCGGTTTGTTGAGTGTCATCCCATACATGGAGAGTCTGCTGGTTCAATTACAGTCAGGGCACACGCCTGGGGTTTCAGCCTCGGTTCCCAGTACGGGCATGCAGGAGGCAGCTGTTTGATGTTTCTCATTCTCTCTTCCTTCTTCTCTCTTTAAAATCAATAAAAACATTTTTTAAAAAGAATAAACTCTGTGCTTTGGGTACTCACAACTACTTTGCCACATCCTGTATTACTATTTTGGTTAGGAATTCAGCGAATTTGTGTGGTTTGCTATGGATTTTAGTAAACAAATCAGTTCAAATATTTATATCTTTGATCCAAAGAGAGTAACCAAAATTTTTTTGGTAGCTGATTTCACAATATCAGAATGTATAATACTACCTGACCCAACAATCCCACTTTTAGGAAGGAACATTTACCACAGATTTACACACACAAGTACATCAAAAGCTTTGCACAACAGTCTTCCTGGAGTACTGTATGTAAACATCTGGAAGTGACTATAAACATATATCAAGAGGGAAAAGCTGAAAAACTTACAGTACATCTGTACAAAATAATACTATGTGTACTTCAAAAGAATGAGGCCAAATATGCTGACAGTGAAAGAAAGCTATGATATGATAACTAACAAAAGAGCAAAGTCAAGTGTATATAGCATGATCCCAGCTATGTTAAGATAACAATAAAGGACATGAACATCCATTTACACACACACCTATACTCACAGATAATGAGAATTACTGTGATAAGGGACTGGGAGCCTAATGGGACAATTATTACTTTTATTTTATTTAAAATATATATATTTTTATTGATTTCAGAGAGAGTGAGAGATAGATAGAAATATCAATGATGAGAGAATCATTGATTGGCTGCCTCCTGCAGGCCACCTGGGACCGAGCCCGCAACCCAGGCATGTGCCCTTGACTGGAATTGAATCCGGGACCCTTCAGTCCGCAGGCTGACATTCTGTCCACTGAGCCAAACCAGCTAGGGCAAGAATTACTTTTATTTAAAAATAAAATAAGATAAACAAAATAACAACCCCAAAACATTTAAATGAACAAAGAAGTACTACCACCTACACCCACTCTCAGGTGAAGCAACCAGCTAATGACCTGGAAACCCCCAATTATCCATTATCTCCACTTCAAAGCCAGGCCATCGTTAGGCTCTGCTGCACAGCCACATACCTCTGTAAGTGGTAGATCTTGTGTGTGAACTGGCCCTTCTCACCGTCCTTCTCATAGGGTTCATTCACCAGGACCTCCACACCTTCTCCACCGCCTGTTTCATTTTTGCTAGCTTCAGCCACAGAATACAGCTGTCCTACTTGATACTAAAGGAACAGAGAGACGGGAGTTGTCAATGCAGAATCTTCTGAACAGTTACTATAGTCCAGTCGCCAGTAACTGTCCAATTATTTCACTTTGTAATTCCCCTAACTTAAGAATTCATTCTGAAGATTCACACAGGGTCTTGCTCAAATTCACCCAAAACAAGTGATAACCCTGCTCCATGGCCTCTCTTTAGCCATCAGATGTGTTTAATTTTATCCTTCCTATTTTCATGATCCAGAAAGCAGAAGGTAGAATGCAAGGTAGCTTTTGTCTTGCTATTAAGCCCTTAAAATAAGATCTGGGGTAGTTGCTAGAAGCCTATTTGTTCCATTCATTTAAACAGATCCTAAGACATGACTTCTTTCTCCAATGGTTTTTCCCCCACCCCCACCCCGCCCCCCACCAAGAAGCTCGGAAAACAGCCTTACAGGCAACCAGACCTCCAGACACACTCGATTCCTGATGGGGCTGAAGCAAAGTGCTTCCCATATTAGACAGCAGATTCCTACCCCGCGGTCTGTGCTGGCTGGGTACACCCTCTGTGCTGGCACTTACTAGATGGCAAAAGCCTACTTTTCCTTTATTTGGGTCACATGCCACCCTATCAAGTCACCAGTCAAGATCACTGGCCTCCTCTGACCCTCTCAGGGACATTCAGTGTTAGGGCCATTGACCTGAAGGAAGCTGTCCAGGTGAAAAAATAAGGTGAGAAGAGAATGAATGGAGTATTTAATGACGGAAGTTACATCTATACCACAGGTGCATCTTACCTGTCACTGCCAGTGCCAACCAGGCACAAATATGAGAAAAGAGCATTTGGTTCCCCAACATGTTGTGGAGGTAGATAAAAGGTTTTCCCCACCCAGCATGCCCCTTTCCCAAACTACCGGTACTCCCAGGAGTGAAAGATGAGAGCATTTTTCTCCTTTTGAGATTAAAACAGAGAGGCTGTGTCTCTGGGCAGCTGTCATTTAAACCACTGCCTGCAAGAGCGAGGAGCAGAGGCAGCATCCAGGGCTGTTTCACCCCAAACTTGGATGCTGACTTGACCAGGGAAATTTTGGGGCGAAGTCCAGAAGGTGAAGCAGCAGACCAGGATGATTTACTGTTCATCACAAAGCTGAAAGAGCCCTAACTTCCAAAGCAAACCCAGCACAAAATGCCAAGGAAAGCCCAGGCAAGCAACCAAGACTCAGCTAATCCCATAAAGAGGAGCGCTGGGGTGACAGCCAGGCATCTGACCTTGCTAATCCAGAGCAACATCACTGTTGCTTCACTGTCCCCGTGGAACCCCACGCTGTCCCCGTGCGTGTCCAAGGCCACCCCCCAGCTGAGGCACACACGAAAACCTCTATCAAGTGGGTCAGGGTTTGGCTGAGCCAGGGGTTCCTGAGAAGGAGCCGCGATTCTGCTTCAGAGAAGAGTCATAAGAACATCTAAGCACTGACTCAGCAATCCTAAAGGGCAGGCTAGGGAGAAGGCCTGGTGGCGAGGACGGCGCTGCCGGCTGGTGCCACTGCTTGGAGGGGGCTCCAGGCGAGACTAATCCTTTCACCGGCTCCTCCTCGGAGGCAGGAATCAGAGGGCTGGCTCTAAGAGGATCAGTCTGTTGGACTGGCACCTTCCCCCTTTAATCGCCCTTGATATTCTGATCCTTTAATCTCAGTCAGACAAGTGAAGGCAGTTTTGCTAATCCAAAGGGGTGGGTTAAACTGGCCTCCACAAGCCACAATTGAGGGACACCTTCTCTGTCCCAGGGTTCCCTCCGGCAGAGAGGCTCCGCACCCTGGGAAGGCAGGAAGCAGCCAGACTCATGTGGGGTGAAGGTGGGAGCAGGGGTGAGGCCATTCCATCAGATAGGGAGCTGAGGAGACTGGGATTCCAGCTGCCTCGGGCCTAGGATACTGCTCTCTGCCCTTGATATTTGTTCCCTTGTCCCAAAGAACTAAGGTACTCCACTAAGAAAAACAAGAGACTCCACCGCTTTGGCAATCTGGGAGAAGAAACCCAGGAAGATGCTGTGGGTGGGCCCAAGACACTGACATTAAACAAACCAGCGCAGCTGTCGGTCCCACCCACACGGCCCTGTCAGGACAGTGACCATAGGGGAATGGTGCCCTGCATCTCTGGAAACAAGATAAAACAGCCCTGCCCACAGCAGAGGGTGGGCAGCCTGAGTCAGGAACCACTGGTGGACACACCCATATCGAACGGCCAAAGTTTTCTTGCTCTGCTGCCGAATGCCCAGAAACCCTGTGCAGTGTTAGGCCAAAGTGTCTGGCCAGCCAGAAGCTAATTCCATCCCAAAATATTGATTTGTACCATCAGAATGGTTATAAAGACGTGGCCTTCTCTTCTCTTTCTTCCCTTTTCCCCCCAAGTCAGAAAGCTCTGAGGACCTAAAATCATGGTCTCCAATAGGGAAGTGAATCTATCAGTCACAGAGACTGGGCTGCTCCCATGGGAACCATAAGTCAGGATGGAGTTATTAATAAAGACGCTGAGAAGGTTGATCATTACTTGTTTCCTGTATGGCCACGCATTCAAGATTTTCTGTCTTCTGGAACTAAGGTTCAAGCCATCAAGAAAGCAGCTCCTGCCGAAACCGGTCTGGCTCAGTGGTAGAGCGTCGGTCTGCGGACTGAAAGGTCCCAGCTTCGATTCCAGTCAAGGGTATGTACCTTGGTTGCGGGCACATCCCTGGTAGGGGATGTGCAAGAGGCAGCTGGTTGATGTTTCTCTCTCATCGATGTTTCTAGCTCTCTATCCCTCACCCTTCCTCTCTGTAAAAAATCAATAAAATATATTAAAGAAAGCAGCTCCTGCTTCAAACCCAGGCCAAGCACTGCTTTCTCAGCAGCAGTTTCTAGCTGAGAACAGGTTGGCCATCATCAGGCAAACAGATGAATCCTAACAGTGCTTACTGCCCCAGCTGCTGCTTAGATTTTCAGCTCTGTTCACTTGCCCCTTTGCTTCCTCAACACTTCAAAAAAGCCACCACAAGCTAAAACCTCTAATCCCAGCCACTCTTGGAGTTCCCCTTTCCCTCCTTGGCCTGCTATGAGCAATCAGTGTTCTGGCCCCTCCAACCTTCCTACAGAGCAGCCAGGAAATGCTACAGACAGGTGCTGGCCCTCCTGGTCTGCCACACTCTCAGAGACATTCCCACCCTTCGTTCCATCAATAAACTCTCTGCGAAAAGATTCATTTCACCCCTAAATGCCACACTGAGGTACTCCCAGATTCCTGGGACATCTTCTCGACTGGCTGTATAGTAGAAAGGAAATCATCGAACCCTCAAGAGCTGAGTTTTAGGGCAAGAGACGTGCTAGGCCTTCCTGCTTGGCTTCCTGGTTGGGAAAACTTCACAAAAGCAGCACCGCCCCCAAAGGAAGTGGATGAACAAGGTCCTCCATGCCAATGCCTGTCACACCATGCATGTGGTTCCCAGGCCTTAGGTACATCTCAGGCGCCTCCAGCATCTATCCAGCCATCCCCTCTCCCCGGCTTCCTTAGTCTTGTTTCTCTTCTCCTTTCACAGAACTCCCAGCTCATGTTGGAGGCCACCTCTGGCTCCCTCCTGGGTCTCTATAACCTGCATCAGCCTACCGCTGGAGACAATCCTCTAAGATACATGTGTCAAACACAAGGCCCGCGGGCCAAATCCGTCCCGCCAGGCCTTGCAATGTGGCCCGCACCGCGCTGTCATCACTGCACTCCGCTGTGTTTCCATCACAATGACAGTTTATGACTGTTCAGTAAACCATTCGGCCCGCGATTTAGGCTGGATTTTAGATTTTGGCCCCTTCTCTGATTGAGTTCGACACCCCTACTCTAAGAGGCCAATGTCTGCCCACCACTTATGGAGGGTCAAAAGCTTGGTTATTTGTCTCATCTAATGTGTGCTGATTTGATGTTTCAAAGGTCCATTTCATATCTGGAGTAGACTGGAAGTTATCACAGGAGTTTCATGCTGACTCTGCAGGAAAGAGACTGATTGAGGGGCATTATGTTGGCTGACAAATTTCCCCAAACTTAAGCTTAACTGGAAGTGGGGGTGGATAGAGGGCTATGGATTCAGAAGGAAGCAAAAAAGAAGGCAGCACCAGGAGGAGGAAGTGGAGGAAGGGTGGGACAAGGGAGACTCTGTGACAGTTCTCTGCTGTCCAGGAGACTAGCACTGAGTCAGCATGGCCTATAAACTTTCTTGTGGCAAATCCTGCCAGATCCCCATACACAGACGACAGGCCCAAGAACCATAAAAGGATAAAGAGCAAGCCCAGCCCATTTGCTACTCCCTGCCCTCCGTAAAAGGAGGTTCTGGGCTCTGGGCTTTCCAGCAGTCACCTAGAGTGTCGCCAGGGAGGGCCACAAAGACTTCTGCCCTGCTGGTTTGTGGCACAATCGGAGAGAGCTGTGCCCACTTCCCAGTCAAGACACGGAGGTCCCAGAAAGGCACACACTCAATCCCCTCAATAACATGTCCCTGAACAGGCACAGTCCCATCAGGTAAAGGAGGCTGACTAGCATGCCAATAACTTGAGGCAAGTTGTACACAGTTGCCCAGGTATACAAAGCAAGTGCCTTCTCTGACGGCGGGACTGCAGATTGGAGCAGCAACTATGAAAAACAGCATGGAGGGCCCTCAAAAAATTACAAATGGAACTGCCTTATGACCCAGAGATTCCACTTGTGGATATATACCTGAAGAAACCCAAAATACTAAATTGACAGAATATATGCATCCTTATGTTCACTGCAGTGTTATTTATTTATTTTTAAAATATATTTTATTGATTTTTTTACAGAGAGGAAGGTAGAGGGATAGAGAGCTGGAAACATTGATGAGAGAGAAGCATCGACCAGTTGCCTCCTGCACACCTCACACCGGGGATGTGCCCACAACCAATGTACATGCCCTTGACTGGAATTGAACCCGGGACCCTTCAGTCTGCAGACCAACGCTCTATCCACTAAGCCAAACCTGTTTTGGCCGCAGTGATATTTATAATAACCAAGATCTGAAAGCAACCCATCAATAGAAGAGTGGATAAAAAAGTTGTAGTACATATACACACACAATGGAAATATTACTTAGCCATAAAAAAGAATGAAATCTTACCATTTGCAACAACATGGATGGACCTAGAGAATATTATGCTAAGTGAAATGAATCAGTCAGAGAAAGATAAATACCATATGATGTCACTTACACATGGACTCTAAAGAACAAGATAAATGAACAAACAGAATTGAAACTGACGCTTAGACACAGAGAAGAGACTGATGATTGCCAGAGGGGAAGGTTGCAGGACTGGGTGAAAAAGGTGAAGGGATTAAGAAGTACAAATTGGTAGTTGCAGAATAGTTGCAGGCATATGAGGAGAATATAGGGAATACAGTCACAATTGTACTATGTATGGTACCAGGTGGGTACTGAAGTACTAGAGGGAACATTTTTATTTTATTTTTAATTTTTGTTAATCCTCACCCAAGGATATTTTTCCCATTAAGAGATAGTGGAAAGGAGAAGGGGGTGGGGGGAGAGGGAGAAACAGAAGGAAGAGAGAGGGCGAGGGAGATGGAGATGAAGAGAGATACTCATTTGTTGGTTGCCTTTTGAATGTACCCCAACCAGGGCTGGGAATTGAACCTGCAACCCTTTGATGTGTAGGCCGATGCTCTAACCATTGAGCAACCAACCAAGACACAGGGAACACTTTTAAAGTACATGACTGTATAACCATTATGTAAAATAATATTGAATGTAAACTGTATTGGGAAAAACCCAACAACTTCCTTTCCTATCCTCAAAAAAAAAAGTTAAATTAAATTAAAAATAACAATAAGTGTTTTCCTTCAATTGAAAGTAACATCAGGAAAATTCACAGCAAGTATTGGTTATCTATCTCTGTTAGAACAAACATGAAAAACACACACAGAGTTTGGCCACGTGGAGCCACTATGTGCAGTTACGGATGAAATGAAGGACTTACCTCCTCTACTGACACAGGCAGGACGACTCGGCTGTAAGAGAGGGAAAACAAGTTCAGGCTGACACCTGCCCAAGGCTCGGGAAGCAGCACTTCAGAAGAGTATTAAACATTTTGTGGCACATGACATTACACTCGCTGTCAAAAACCCAGCCGAGAACGGCCCCAACGTCCCCAAGGCTAGGACACTCTGTGCCCTTCTGGAATCCCATTTAGGGCCCTGTGAGTCAGTGTAAACCTGTTCCCCACCAGCTACCTCCCAGGAAGCCTTCTGATTCACACTCAGAAATGTCTTCTCCCTCTCCTCCACTCATCTCCCCGACAAAACCTGCCCATGAGAGAGGCTAACATAGAGGAGTTCTGACCAGTGTGGGGACTTTGCTGGTCATGGCTGCTCTGTCAGATTTTTGGTGGTACCTCCAATGATTGGTGGTCATTGAAATGGAGGAGGAAAAGACAGTGATCAGTTGAGGTAGCTTCTGGAAGCCAGGACTCTGTCCTATGCAATGGTTTCACCAATTAGGATTCTTGCTCCAGGCTGGTAAATAGTCTGCTTACTATATTTTTAAAATATATTTTATTGATTTTTTACAGAGAAGCCAAGATGAGGGTTCAGACCCAAAGAATCAGGCCCTGGGGATTTACACATCTGTGGACCCAGCCCTCAAGGTGAAAGGCTAGGAAGGGGCCAAGCTTCCTCGAGGCTCAATCACTCTGAGCATGCTCCAACCATCTCTGCTCTGGGACGGGGTATTACAACACAAGCTACTACCACAAAGAGAGGACACGCAGTTTGTGTCCTGGCTTCCAGAAGCTACCTCAACTGATCACCGTCTTTTCCTCCTCCATTTCAATGACCACCAATCATTGGAGGTACCACCAAAAATCTGACAGAGCAGCCATGACCAGCAAAGTCTCCACACTGGTCAGAACTCCACATTGGTATGATGCTTAGCAACACTCCTCCAGAGCAACAGCCAACCCTTAGTTCAAAGCTGTGAGGTCAGAGGGCTGACACAAAAATGCTTAGTTGTTTTCATATAAAACCAGCCAGTTTCCAAGCTAAGACGTCAGTTCCCAGACTCTAGCTGGAAGCCCCTGGAGCCTCTTGTATCTTGGGTGCTTGCTGAAGCATGAGCTGCTATGCCCTCTGTCCTATGCAATGGTTTCACCAATTAGGATTCTTGCTCCAGGCTGGTAAATAGTCTGCTTACTATATTTTTAAAATATATTTTATTGATTTTTTACAGAGAAGAAGAGAGAGGGATAGAGAGTTAGAAACATTGATGAGAGAGAATCATTGATCAGCTGCCTCTTGCATACCCCCTACTGGGGATGTGCCTGCAACCAAAGTACATGCCCTTGACTGGATTCGAACCTGGGACCCTTCAGTCCACAGGCCGACGCTCTATCCACTGAGCCAAACCGGTTTAGGCTGCTTACTATTTTTTATTTCCACAAAGATCTGCCAGGTAGCAAGAAGCACACAGTGGGGTCTGAGAACAACATCACACTAAGGGCAAAACACGAGGAAGAAAAGTAGCAAGAAAAACAAAATGGGCTAAAACAAATCAACAACAACAAAAAACAAACAAACACCAAAATGGGCTCCAAGTCTTTACTGCCTGCTAACTCCCCTCCTCCAGAATGACTCAAACAATGTAAATCCTGCAGGTTATTGGATGCTGCTTCTAATGTGCTCCTCCCATTAGAAAAAGCTGACGATGCAGAAAAATATTTCCAACTTGGAAGCCACAATTTCAGCACCCTCGGTAGAAACTTCCTAGAAAACAATCAGCCTTTTATCTTTAAGAACAGCATTAAACATCACATCCAAGAATTTGCAGAAATCAAATCACAAGAATCTTGTTAGAGGAAGTATCAGAAAAATCAGCAGGGACAACCTTCAGACCCTAGATGGGTACCACGTCTCCCTCCCCCCCCCCCAAAAGAGAAGGGCATCTGCCGGCTCCTGACAGGATGCTCTGAGGCTGCTCACATCACAGCTGCACACCCAGACCTTTCTCCCGGCTCCCTGGGAGCAAAACCGCCTGGCAGCGAAGGGGTGCAGTTCCCAATGTCAGGGCCACAGGGGCAGCGCTGGGCTGAGGCGAGCTGTGCTCCCTTCAGTGTGACCTTCACTCACACCCTTCCCAGAGCTGCAGTGCTGCAGCCACAGCCAAGTGTCTGGATGCCCATCTCCGTGCCCCCTGCCCAGGGCTGTCACACGTGCCCGAGCACACACCGGGCACAAGCCGGACAGGAAGGAGACACACATGTCAGGGAGGTGCTGCATCCCAGCACCGCGGACCTTTCCCTGACAGGCTTCCAGGGGAGGAGAACAAAGAATGGGAAGAGAGGACCTCTCTCTGAAACTCACTCAGATCTCTTTTGAAGATCCCTTTCCCTGTCTGACCTTCCCCACAAAACTGCAGGTTTCTAGACTCTCAGATTCATCTGGGAATAGAAAAAAGCATCCGGAAAATGGGGAAAGCCTGTCTTCTGGACAATCAACATTAGAATCCAAAGAGCACCATGCTCTCTTCCTGTTGACATCCCCAGGTTCTTCCCTCCTCACCCCATAAAGCTCTGAGTCAACATCAGACTGGATATCAAGATGTAAGTAAGGTAGAGGGCTTCAGAATAATGCTCTTTAGCTGGGATGACCCGAGTTTCTGCTCCCTTGGTTATCCAAAGCTCTCTACTGTGCCCTCAACACTTCCAAAGAGCAGTCAGATGGGACCAAGTGCCTCCACCGACACCACGGAGACGGCCCTTTGCACATCTGCCTGGCTACCCAGTGAGTTCCACCAGTTGCTCTCTCCTTGGACATCTCTCACTTCCAAAATCCCTGGGCTTCTGGCCCAATGCTGTCCACTGGCCCTCCCCTCGAGGGAAGCACAGTTTTACTGTAAATGCCACACATACACATTCAACCTCTCCTCTTTTTTGGGGGTTCAGGGGGGGGGGGGGGTGAGTCCTGAGATGTTTCCTTGGAACCATGAGCTTCAGGGATGGGTCCTGTCACATTTGAAAAACTTAGCAATGCAAACATCCCCACCTGTCATCCAATCGCCTGGACTTGAGGAGCAAGCCCAACACCCTGCAACTCCTCCCACAAGTCACTAGCTCCTGCCCCCCAGTCACCATTCAAGAACTCCCTCACCCTGCACCGTCTCCTCCTGATGAATGGCTTTATTGGCAACCTCTTCGATTCCTCAAAGCCATTTCCCCATCTCCCTGCTCCGAGGCTGAAAATTCCGTAGCGATAGCCCGCCCATTTCCCACCCACACTCCAATGGTTCTTATGTTTATGCACAGAGGCTCTTTCCTAACTGTTCCCTACCCTGGCAACATCCCAGCCCTCTCCGTCACGCCCTTCGGATCACGCCAGCCCCTGCCCAATATTTTCTGGACTCCTTACCTGAGTACCCCTGAGTCCCAAGTTTCCCCCTCCACCCCCCAATACCTCCCCTTCTGTACCTGCCAGGTGGGCACCATGTCACATACCCACCTGAGGGGTAGGTCCTCAGATCTTTCCTGTCACCCACGCGGGGCCCTGACTCCCTGGTCCCTTTACTTTATCCACTTACTACAATCTTTCCCCTGATGCCTAAAGGCAGCCACTCCTACTCCAGGTCCCCCTCAGCACTCCTCCCCTTCCTCTCAACTCCATCCCTGGCCTGTCTTGTCTGATCTTCGGAGCCCCCCATACTGAGCATCCCCCCACCCCACCCCCGGCTGGCTAGCTCACCGCCTCTGCCTGCCCTTGTCTAGCTGTTCCTCCCTCTCCCGCAGGTCCCCTCGGCCACTCCTGCAGATGTGGCCGGGCCCTGGTCCCTCAGCCCCCTCCGTGCAAGCACCCCACAGAGCATCCATCAGGGCTCTCCATCCGCTCAGCCCCTCGTGTCCTGCCCGGCTCCCACCGTCCCCTTGACCCCTTCCCAGGCCCTGCCGGGTCCTCATTGTCCCCCGGCCTCTCCTCAGGCCTATCAGCCATCCCTGTCCCTGGGGCCCCCCTCTCAGGTGCTGTCCGTCTCTCCCGATTCCCACCGGCCCCCCCCTCAGGCCCTGCCCGGCCCACCCGGTCCCCTCAGCCCCACGCCGGGCCGCCCAACAGCCCATCCAGCGCTCGCCATCCCCGGGCCCAGGCCGGCCTCTGCATCCCCTCCGCCGGCCGCCACCCTCCGTGGCCGCCAGCCCGCCGCTGCCTTCCTCCGGCTTCCGCACGACCGCGGACACTCACTACTCCTTGATCAGCACCATGTCGCTCCGCGGCTCGGCGGCGGCTGCCTGCTGCCCGCCCGGCTCCCCGCCCGCTTCCCGGCGGCCGCTCTCCCCGCGGCCCTGCCCGGCGCGGCTGCCTGTGCGTCTTCGTCTTGGGCTGTTCCGTCCCCGCCGCTCTCGCCGCGGACGCTGCGCCGGCTCCCGCGCCCCGGCCTCTTCGCCTCCCGCGCCGCCGCCGCCGCCCGGAGCTCTGGTTCCGCAGCGCCGCGCGGGGGCGGGGCGTCTCTGCGGCAACCAGCGCGTCACACGCAGCGTGCGCGCTGACCTCACGCGGGGGCGGGGCTTCCTCCCCGGCCGCCTCCCGGCCTTAAAAGGGCCGCGGCGTCGGCGAACGCTGTGAGCTCCGGGTGGGTACAGGACCCCGCAGGTAGGCGGGGTCGAGGTCTGTGTGCAGGGCAGGGTCTTAGGTGTGACAGACGCACCTGTATGCTCGGACCTCCCCAGTGGATAGGCTGAAATCTAGGAAAGGGTTGTGTAAAAAAAAAATAAAAATTAATTAACGGTAGCTAGTACGTGCAAGAGCTCTCCTAAGTGCTTGACCCCTCAGGACAACACCACCAAAATGGTGCTACGATTGCCTCAGTTTGCAGATGGGGAAAGGAGGCAGAGGTTGAGACTTGTTCAAGTCCAAAGCTAGCATGTGATGGGGCTGAGATTTTCACCCAGAAGGTTTAGTGTGGCCCTAGCTGGTTTGGCTCAGTGGACAGAGCGTCGGCCTGCAGACTGAAGGGTCCCAGTTTCGATTCCCAGTCAGCACACATGCCTGGGTTGTGTGCTCAATTCCCAGTGTGGGGATGTGCAGGAGGAAGCCGATCAATGATTCTCTCTCATCATTAATGTGTCTCTCTCTCCCTTTCCCTTCCTCTCTGAAATCAATTAAAAAGAAGTTTTAGCCAAAACCGGTTTGGCTCAGTGGATGGAGCGTTGGCCTGCGGACTGGAAGGTCCTGGGTTCGATTCTGGTCAAGGGCATGTACCTTGGTTGCGGGCACATCCCCAGTGGGGGCTTGTGCAGGAGGCAGCTGATTGATGTTTGTCTCTCATCAATGTTTCTAGCTCTCTATCCCTCTCCCTTCCTCTCTGTAAAAAATCAATAAAATATATTTTAAAAAAAGTAATAAAAGACTTCCTTCTTTAAAAAATTAAAAAATAGCTGGGACCGGTTTGGCTCAGTGGATAGAGCGTCGGCCTGCGGACTGAAAGGTCCCTGGTTCAATTCTGGGCAAGGGCATGTACCTTGGTTGCGGGCACGTCCCCAGTGGGGGCTGTGCAAGAGGCAGCTGATCCATGATTCTCTCTCATCGATGTTTCTAACTCTCTATCCCTCTCTCTTCCTCTCTGTGAAAAATCAATAAAATAAAATTTTTTTTAAAATAATAAATAAATAAATAAATAAATAAAAAGAAGTTTTAGTGTAATGTCATTCATCCAGTTAGTATTTGCTAGGTGCCTGCAGTGTACCAAAACCTGTGCTTTTGTTGAGAAAATGAACAAGGTAAAGTTCACATAGCCCTTAGGAACATTCTGTGTGGGGTGGGGTGGGGGTAGGTTGATGGGTGGAGGAGGAGCCAGGCAGTTAGAATGAAAAAGGCTGTGAGAAGTGAAACATGGGTTTGTTGGGATTACACCAGGAGATGTAGTCAGCAAGGCATCCTGGAAGAAGAGCTTCTAAGCTGAGACCTTAGAGGGCTGGGAGGGGGGGTGTTTACAGAGTGAATAAAAGGTACATTGGGGGGACTGAAAGAAGTGACTGGGCATGAAGTTGGGGGGCTGAGGAGCTGTGGCAGGTTTGGGTTGGGGCCAGGTGATGTAATTCCTGGCAGGGGATGATAAGGTGTTTGGAGTCCATCCAAAGGGCACAGGTGGGCACATAAGGTTTTAAGCAGGACTGGTGTCCCAAGGCTCTCTCTGACAGCTGGGTGGAGAGGGGATGGAGGGGCCGAGCAGAGGCAGGGAGGCCAGTTAGGAGGCCTCTTCAGAAATCCAGGCAAAGATGGGCTAAGAAAGACAGTGGTGGGAAGGAGGGGGAAAAGGGGATACGGATACAGCAGTAACTCAGGAAGTAAAATTAGCAAGATTTTTGACTCAGCAGCTGAGAGGGTAAAAGGAAGGAGGTTCCTGGCCTGGGAGCGTACAGCGTTAGGAGCATACAGGAAGGCAGGTTTGCTCGGGAGAAAACAATGACTCCATGTTGAATTTAAGGAGCACCCAGGTGCTGGTTAGGGATTGCCCAAGACATGAACTTGGGAAGTGAGGGTGGAGCAGATGGCTGTATAGCTGCTAAGCCGTGACTGGTGCCCTGGGACAGCCCTGGATATTGCACACATGGGCCACTCACTCACTGAATCCTAGAGAGATCTAAGCCCAGGTCCTGTGAAGAAGGCCAAGGGAAGAGATATTATGACTCAAAGTCCAAGATTACGTGGTTGGCCTAGAGCCTGGTCCCCTGATGCTCCCAGTGTAAGTCCTCCCTCCCCCGAGAATATCAATGGATAATAATAACGATTGCTATGTACTGGCTCTCTCCAGGAAGTAACTAATCCCCATCATCTGGGACCTTGCAGTCTAGTTGGGAAAACCACAGTTACTCATTCACTCAATAAATATTGACTGAGCACCTGGCCTTGCCCTAAGCAGTTTCCTAGGCCCTCAAGATACAGGGGTGACCGATAAAAATGACACCCTTCTCTTGTTCAGTGGGGGAAGCAGAATATGAATAAATACAGAATTAGCGTCAAGTTATAAATGTTATAAAGAGGCTGAACAGGTGACCAGGGGCCGTGGCAGGCAGCATCCGGTGGCCAAGGAAGACTCTTAGAGGAAGTGATGTGTAGATGGAGACCTGGATGAGTAGGGAAATTATTATCTCATTGGGTTCAGATTTCCCTAGTTACTTAAAAAAATATATTATTTTGTAGTGTTTTTTTTTTTTTAAAGATAAGTTTATTGTCTTAATAAGGTCAGTTTTTTTCCACATTTAAAAAAATATATATTTTATTGATTTTTTACAGAGAGGAAGGGAGAGAGATAGAGAGCTAGAAACGTCAATGAGAGAGAAACATCGACCAGTTGCCTCTTGCACACCCCCTACCGGGGACGTGCCCGCAACCAATGTACTGTACATGCCCTTGACCGGAATCGAACCCGGGACCTTTCAGTCTGCAGACTGACGCTCTACCACTGAGCCAAACTGGCTTCGGCTTTTTTCCCCACATTTTAAAAATTCATTCATTCATCATTCATTTATAATCCTCACCTGAGGATATGTTTATTGATTGGAGAGAGAAAGAGGAAGGGAGAGAAAGAGACATCTAAGTGAGAGAAACATTGATCGGTTGCCTCCCGTACCAGTCCAGACTGCAGATTGAACCTGCAATCCGAAACGTAGGTATGTGCCCTGACCAGGAATCAAACCTACAACCTCTTCAGCATATGGGACAATGCTCCAACCAACCCACCCGGCCGGGGCTCACATTTTGTTTCCAGTTGTTCTGTTTCTTACATCTCCTAACTGCAGCAAGCTTTGCTCCAGGTGTGCATAGGAGTCAGCCCTTATTCACAGGGCCCAGAGCACTCTAGCCTGTTCCCCACCGTGAGCCAGCACCCCACTGTGGGAACAGAGCCCCTGGTTCCTGATGCCCCGGAGTCCGCGGCCTACCACTTGCCACCTGTGTGACCTTGGGCAGGTTACTGAACCTCTCTGTGCCTAAGCTTCTTCACTTGTAAAATGCCTGCTTTGACGCAATGTAGGGAAGGTGATTTGGTGCAGTTTACGGCACTTTTCCGTGTTATTATTGTTGGGGGAAGGGGCGTTATGAAGAAGGAGGGATGCACATTGCTGCCCTAAGCTACTTCGACATGCTCCGGGCTTAAAAGGAGAGAAAGAAGCTCGTCTCCAGTGTCACAGTGATCTTTTGTCTCTCCTGTCTCCCTTTCTTTGTCTCCGCCCCTCTCTCCATCTGTTTGTACTTCTCTATCTTCTCTCCATCTCTCTAGCTCCCTCTCTACCTCTCCTCACCAGCTCTCTCTGTCTTTCTCCTATCAGTTTATCTCGCCTCTCTGTCTCTCTGTATCTGTCTTTCTGTATCTCTGTCTTTCATCTCTCTTGTTATCTCTCCTCTCTGTCCCTTTGCATTTCTCTGTCTCTAACCCCTTCCTGTCTTTTCCCACCCGTCATCAGTCTTTGTCACTCTACCCTGGGCAATAATGCATCTTCGGCCTGTTTCTTTCATCTTCTCTTTGCAGCTGTCTCCTTTCCCCCTATCTGTCTGCTCTCTGTTCTGTGTTGGTCTCTCTCTCTCTCTCTCTCTCTCTCTCTCTCTCTCTCTCTCTCTCTCTCTCTCTCTCTCGCCTTTGTCTTGGTGTCTGTACATCTCACAGTTCCCGCCCCCGGATGGTTCCTCCTGGCTGTCTGGCCCTCCTTACCGCGTGGTCACAGACACGCCTATAACCATCTCTGGTGTCTCGGGGAGACCGTGTTTCATTGTTTCCATCTTCTGCTCTGTCCCTTCCTGGCTGCGGAGAGTGTTTTCTTCTCCCAGCTTCTGTCTCAGCCTCTTCTCACTTTATTTCTGTCCCTTCTTTTTTTAAATTTCACCCTCCAAATATTTATTGAGCAACTGTTCCATGCCAGGCACCATTGCAGGCTCTGGCAGAGCACATGCCAGCTCTCAGGGAGCGTTTGTCCTAGTGGGACGGACACCACACAAGCAAGCACGTGACGCTGGCTGCCCGGCTCGTCCCACTGGGCAGAGGAGTGTGGTGGCCAGGCCAGGCCATAGGCAGGGACTCAAGCCCGTGAGGGTGAGCTGGCTCTGCCTTGAGCTTTGCCTGACTAATCCGTGTCCCTAAACAGGGACTGTGGCCACTCTGGAGCCAGACTCAGTAAGGTTCACTCTGCACCGGGCTGGGGGAGCAGCCATGTAGGACCGTATCTAATGCAAGACAAACAGAACACGGGCTGGAGTCAAGGATTTAGACAGCGGTGCTTTGAGTGCCCAGAGCGGGTGAGGAGCCACTTTACCTCTGCTTCTCTCTCTGCCTCTGACAGTGTTTGGCCAGCATAGGGATAAAAACTATTTGAACAGTCGTGATATATTTTTTTAATATATTTTATTGATTTTTTTTTTTCTAACAGAGGGAGAGGGATAGAGAGTTAGAAATATCAATGAGAGAGAGAGACATCGATCAGCTGC